AGGCTTCAACTGCGGGTTGTTAGTCTCCTGTGCCCTTCAACTCCCCTTCCTCAACGGGAAGTTCACACCTCAGAGCCCGTCCGCCTCACGCGCTATCACTGCTATCCGATAACGAGCAAACGATTAATTACTCCTCTACGTCGTCACCGATGAAAACCACCGTGTAACGCAAGCCTCCGCCTCCGGTGCGATGTCTGGCTGGGTCTGACACGGACGTCTGATACCGCTACCGGTGCCTCTCGCCCGCGGCACTATTAGTCGGTGACGGTATATGTAAATACCGCCTCCGGGCGTACAGCACGGCGTTTTTATCACAATGAACGTTAACTGGTCCATTAGGCGCGGCCGAGCCCCTGCACCTGTTCCCCTCCTGATTTATCGTCGCCGACGCTGGAGCCCGCCGGTGACGACGCAACAATTAGTTTCAACCCTGATTCTAGTATCGGGTTTATAGTGGAGGCGCCGTGCCGGCGGCGGCGGCGGCGGCGCGGCGGCGGCGGCATTTCAGGCGAGCGGAGACGGCGCCGGCGCACGTCAGGCATGCATCACATGACGTCACAATACGGGGGATTAATGTGTCGTAGTCCGGTCGTCGACGAGGATGGGGACACATGACCGACGGCGATGCGGCGGCGAGGGGTCCGGCTCGCTCCGGCGTTGGAGTGTGATGAGGTGGATCCTCAGGCAGACAATGCGTTCCTTGGTATAGACGGGACAGTTCGTCGAACGGACAGGGGAGACGAAGGAGCGGTGGTGGTCCGACGGACCGGGTGGCCCTCACGAGGTGGCGAGGGGAGAGCGTCGGGGCGATGACATCAGGTGATGACATGGGACGGAGCGGGAAGATGAACATTTGGGGACCCGTCCACCACGATGGTGATTGATGATGACCATTATTACACTCTACAAGTGACAACATGTAAGACATTTCTTTTTTTCACAGATGTACGACCCGCCGTGAGCTGGGGGTGGCGCCACCCTGGCCGCGGCGGGGTAAGACTGGAATAGTCGACGACAGGGGCAGGCCGGCTGTGCCAATGTCCTGTCCTCGATCTGAGAGCCTCTCTCCATCGCAGCCCGCTGAGAAATGGGCAATGCCCCAGGGCGACGGCCGGTCGCCAGAAGAGCGTTTTTCTGGCCGAAAACAAAGCTCCTGTCGGCCTCAGTAAGCACGTTTCTCGGTGAACTGTCGAGGTTTCTGCAGTGGTAGGTAGTTGGGAGCTGACGTCTGATTTCTCAGCGCTCCATTCGCGCGACTTCTTACACCGGCGCGGGGTCTATTTCCACCGCGACTAGATTTGCCTGGCATTACAATCTGATAGTGTTGAAAACGGGAAACAAGCGGCACCATTAATCGTGCGCGTCTGTTTTCGCAGGCTCTGATGTCTTCCTCTATCACGGTTGGGTTTCGCGATTAGGCCATTTGTCATCTTGTACGAGATGTTCTAGCTGTCATGGTGACGATTAACGATTTAGCGCGGCGTTGTGCCTTCTAATGAGAGCGGACAGTGGTCGGCAGTTGGTGATAGGAGGCGGGGCTGGTGCCCGGCAATCACCAGCCACCAGCCAACATCAATAGCTCGTGACAGCAGAACAATGCACCGGCCGCGAGGACGGGGTGAGGCGTTCCCAGCTATGCGGCACAAAGGTCAGCCCGCGGAGAGGCTCGCTGCCAGAGTGAGACGTGATAGCGGTGGGAGGAAAGTGCGACGTAGGCCGTAGACGGAAAACATATGCCATGCGCTTTGATAGATCTGGAGGCACCCACCCATTCTCGAGCATAATAAAAATCGTCACCCATACATTGAACAACTGCCAGTAAAAGTATTCATATTGTGCATGAACACAAGCGATATATCTTCTTTAATTAAATGTACGCACCCGTTCCGGACAGTTTCATGACTGTATTTGTTACTTCGTCAGCGGTATCAAATTGTCCGTATCAGATGACTGCTGAGATAAAAAGTTTTTTATGCTCGTCAGAGCCACACTGACTGTTTGCTTTGAAGCTTTTAGCGATTGATAAGAGTGACAGAATGTAGAAAACGCGTATCTTGGATTGTTGATATCGGTGACCTCGGGTCAGGTCAACTTAACAATCACTATATTTTCGACGTTTTTCGACGAAAGTCATTATGAACAGTAAGAAAAACACCATGAAACAGGCTATGATTGCATTTTGAACCAGAAAATTGCACCTGAAGCTCCATCTTAGACAGCTGGTCATCTTAGGTGATAAAAGATAAATTACAGTTTTCGACAATGGACAATGACTTGTTTATAAATAAGCCTTATAGTGCGATAAAAACATCGTGGATATGTTTATCTTTGTTATATGAGATCGAATGTTTGCAGCATGTAGCCAGGCCTTTTCCGGTCAGGTCATGACCTTCAGCTTAGGTCAAACTGCCAAATTGACCTTTTAAGGTCAAATTACAATTCATTCAATGCGTCTTCAGGAGAAGAAGACGATGCCGGTAAAGTTATCGTAATACAAGTTTAATGTTTAACCTGGCCGGGCCCGGGGGGTAATCCCAACCACCGCAGCCCGGGGGGGCGTTTTTCGCCCCCCTGTCTAACTTCGTAAATAAGGGAGCTACGGAAACAAAAGCGATACCAAATGAAAGGTCCTTACGAGACGATTCTAAAACACCTAAAATTTTTGACCTCAGGTCAATTTTCAAGTTCAGAGGTCAAGGTCAAAGGCAAAAACCGGCACATGTGTAGTGATCTCAAAGTAAGCCTTTTAGAGGACGGCAGGTTGCATCAAACCGTCAAAATTGGGTGTCAAACGAAAGAAGAGAATCTGAGGATTCCGAAAATGTGCTCAAAATTAAAAGTCAAGGTCAAGGTCACGCTCAAAATTGACCTCAAACTTGGCACTTTTTCGCACATCTTGCGTGCTAACTTTCAAGATGTTTTGAAATGTTTTGAGGCTTATCAGTTCCCTATTTGTGGTTCATCTTACGATACAAGGCTGCTCAAAGGTCAAGGTCACAGTAGAGTATCCCTGCTAGAGGCTATTTCACTGATTCAAGTTAGTGATAATAAATAAGACAATTTTGCCATCCGGAAGCTCTAAATGAAGGCTTAGAGGGAAGTAGATGCCAGATTCGTGATCAGCGGGTACAAATCCATCATAAACGACCTTTCATGTGTCAAGGTCAACCAGAGGTCATTCGAGGTCACATGAGGTCAACATAAAACTTGACCTTTTCCGAACAAAATATACATCATTCGACGCGGCTTGACAAGGTGAATGCGATGGTTACCACTGCCGTAGCTCTAGGACCATTTTTGTCGAAGTTATTTGCGAAAAACTAAAACAACATTTCGGGGTCGTTGGCCTGACCTCTGACCTCAGGTCACCAAAACTATTTTTCTATTTTTCTCTAGGTCACACGCTACACAACCGTGCTCGTAATTTGTCTTTATCTTTAAAACTCTATTTTTAGCAGCTCTTTGAAGTTCGCGTCTGTGACGCCGAAGTTTGCCGTGCAGGGGTCTAGAAAAATGGACCTTGTGACGTCATCAAGGGGGTTATGTCCAAATTTTTTACTTTAGAAGTTGTCAAATTGATGGGAGAAAAGGTACTGAAAGTTTCGCTTTCCTATCCCTAAGCGTTCGGGAGCTATCGCAAATATTCGCCAGGGGGGGGGGGGGGGCGAAAAGCCCCGGGCCCGCGAGGGTTAAAGTTATGGCATAAAAGCATTTTCCGCAAAAACGTTAATGTTAAGAGCTGCTGTCCTCTGTAGGCGAAACTATTCAACATAGATTAAATCTGAGAAGACTTTTAAGAAAGAACTTTAAAAGATCTGTCGAATACGCTTAGTCTGCCACGCTGTAGCTTCATTTGTTCTCCGATTCATTAAAAAGTGTTGAAATAGGTGAAAATTGATCATTCATGATCTCTGTTGTCCTGACCTTTGACCTAATCTAAAAAAGTGGGAGATACCTTCTTCGTGATTTTGACGCTCTTTTGAACCCCTCTTACCGTGCCATTTGATTGCTACGTTACTACGTGGCCCATAAGCCGAGTTAGACAGGGGTGTTCAGGCCCTCCCTCGACCCGGTGAAGCGCTGGAGAATGCGTATGGTTATTGTGGGATATTGCAACAGAGTGCGTTCCGGACAAGGCTGCATCCATTCTATATAGACGATGATTCTGTGCGAAATTCTCGAAAATATTCGTTTTTGGGTTCCGACAGACTGAGGCAGACATATTTGTTAAAAGTAATACTTAATAGCCATTTTCACGACGGGCTATCCGGCGAATGCACCTGATTTGACCAAATCTGCACCTAATTTCTTTTACAGCAAATATCTTCATTTTATTAATTTATTTCAGTGTTTTAATCGATGATGCTCTCTGATAATATGACAAAGCAGGCATATAAGCAATTAGTGCAACCCTAGCTGATAGCTGCTAAGAGACACAGTGAACCTGATTTGACCAAATCTGCACCTAATCTGTACTGCAGATGTGCACCAAATGTGTACCAGATGGCCGTCGTGAAAACGGCTAATATCTACATTTTAGCGCATTCGAAGTGAGCATAGAGCGTATCTAATGTTATGAAGCACAGACTTCTCTATACTGTATAGAGAAGTCTGTGTATGAAGGATGGACCTGTGCATACCGAGATCTATAGAGGTCTTTGCTTGGAGTGTCGTTGTTTCGCTTTTTCGCTTTTTAGAGTCGCTTTTTAGATTTTTCGCGTCGCTTTTTCGAGTTACTGACTTCGTTTTTTCGGCTTCGCTGCCACGGTGGAGCTAAACTAATGTCATCAAATGAAGCTGATCGTTTACTGAAACCGAAAAAGCAAGAAAACGAAATGAAAAACCAAAGAAGTGTGCCATGGAGCCGGCACTTAAGCTTGCGCAATAAATAATGTATGGCATGCGCCCTTTAGTGCTTCGACTCCTGTTTGATCTCTGCAACGGAACCTCCGCCTAAGAGAAGCTAGTCAATAACAAATGACATCAGCATTCAAATAGCATGTACTTTCTTCACTTTATTCCGCAATGATACAGCAAACAGAACACGATTGTCTAATCATACTTTATTACACACATAACGATTCTGTGCACAACACGCATTTTGCATCGCTCACACATCTGTGAGCGAGAAAAGCGGGTAGGGGTCAACGCACACAGAACAATGAAACGATCTATTCACAGTATTGCAAGAGTAGAACTTCACTTCAACATGAACCAACTTGCCATCTTATGACCGAAGATTATCCGGTGCTACTGACTGGGCACCGAGAAAAGACCCATTCGCTCATGTTCTACATATTTGGCGTTTTCTTTGTTTGGCTATCTGGCAGCAACATTCACCCAGCATATTCAAGATGTATTTAAAGCAGGTTCTTCATTGCATCGCTACCGAATACCTGAACTAGTCTAGGACGAATATTTTAATAAATAATTGAAAACAACTGGTTTTCTAGCGCCTCTTTAGTCTTTGGTGAGGACAGATCAACAAAGCAGTACAATTTAACAAGGCACAAAGGCACTTTTCACTCAAGCTCGTTATGAAAACGTGAGTATCAAGTGTTCTCAACCCACTCCCACTCAAAATCCTCGTCAACTCTGCCTCCACACAACATTCCCCCAATCTTTCGGCGACCAGCGCCATTGTCCTAGTCTTTCCAGCAGCACCTTCCACTAGATCACACTGTGAGTTCTCCGTGTTCGTCGTGAGGTTCACGTCGTGCACGGTCCTGTGCACTGTTCCGTGCACGCTCCTGTCACGCCGTGCACTGTCCCGCGTGCACGGTGCAGTGTGCACAGTTCGATCGGCCACCACTAGGGCGCGCTGTCGGTCGCCTGTTGAATGGCGGTGGTGGAGGTAGGAGATATGCTCTGGACGATCATGGAGAGACAGTCCAAGCTGGAGGTGGAGGTGGCAGTTCCAGCTGCCGTCGCCTGCTCCACGCCGCCACCTGAAACACAAGATGTCGGAGGTCAGTGCTGAGGTTAGGATCATAAGTCAGAGTCAAGAGGGGTCGGGTCAGGGTCGGGTCGGGTCGGGTCAGGTCACGAAGACATGTGTCAGCGCCACCGCAGATCACGGAAACTGCTCCTTTGTTGCTCAATGCTCATCATTTAAATCCTGCCCCGTTTTATTCCACGTTTTTGTAATTCTCAGCATGCTGATATACGTCATGAATCCGGCAGGCGCTGTTATGTAACCGACATTCTACTATCCCGGAAAAGAAACAATAATTGACATTGTTTGTTTTAACGTAGACTACCCAGACGTGCTTTTTCTTTGTTACTGTATGCCTGGTCTATTCAAATACATTAGCCAGAGGGGTGTGGTAATAACTGGTGTAAGCAAATTGACCACGGTCAAAAATGCATTACCAGAATGCACTAAAGCCAACATTTTGGGATGGTCTCGTTCCTAAGTCGGCTAAGAGCTTCGGTCCAGAAAATAAATTTATCGTTGGCATACAGTAAAATACATACCAAACTCGGCCGGTGATAAATTTTCAAGACCTCAGTCCTTACTGATTTTTGAACTCGGCCTTCGGCCTCGTTCAAAAATCCAGTAAGGACCTCGGTCTTGAAAATTTATTTACACCGGCCTCGTTCAGTATTATATAATCTCACTAAGCTGACACATATCCATAAAACACCCCGTCAATGTTGAGAGGTCGGAGAGGCGGCCGAAGCCATAGAGCTGGCTTTGGGAGCCCTCGGGGTGTCAGAACAAAGTCATGTTTCCGGCCAGATTTAGGCGGATCGCGTCGTTTTTATTCTCCGCCGGGAGCAGTCCGGGCCGTATTTAACTCATGACCGGAAACTGGGCGGTGCTCGTCAGACGGCGAGGCAGCCGCCGTCACGCCGCCAATCTGGGCTGAATGACAGGCTAAGTATCTCACTGGAAGTGTGACTAATTTAATGGAATGTGACTTAGCTAGCACAGAGGGCGTCTGCTCAGAGATTGGCTTTAGACAGAAAGAGTTACAAAAGAGGGACATTCTCACTTCCAGAATGACGTTCTCAATGGTCTTCCTGTTGTCTCTTTCTTTTTAATCTGACAAATCAAAAGTCATTTGATTTATCCCAAGTAATTTGTGCATTACTTTCCCGCCACGGAGAGGCCGTCGGGCGATCTCTGATGTCCGGGGAGGCCCAGCCGACCGGCTCAGTGGCCAACAATCACTGGCCACCGATAAATGTTACAACAGCACGGCCCACCCGGGTGGCGGCTTCGGCTCAAAGGCGGCCGCGGCAGCTGTCACAGCGCAGCCGGCAGCTGTCTCAGCGGCTGGCCAGCTGCCGCCGCATTCCAAGGTCACCTGCAGCTGTCAGGGGTCGTCGGCACGGCCAGCAGCCGCAAGTGGGCCGCGGCCTGTCGTGTCAGGGTTACGTCAGAATCGGACGGCCATTGTTCGGGCGTCAGAGCCGAACCGTGTCGAACCGCGACAGCGCGATGGTTTTCGGGCGTTTACACGTCACGGTACTCGGGTGATCGACAGAGGAGTAGCCTCTGGGCAGCCCAGCTGGGCAGAATCCAGCGGCTAGGTCACCCGGGCCGGGTAATTTAGGAACAATAGGCCAGGTTCTGGGCGAGCGAGAAGTATGACAGGGCTTCATCGGCATGCAAACGATTGGAAAGAACGAAGGAGCTTATTTTAGGAACGTACGGTTTCAAAAAGGGGCTAACCTTTAATTGTTTCATTAATTTCCGATTTGCAATGTCCAGAAATGAGAAAGCCGAAGAATGCGCTCTGGCCCATCCACTCATTTTCCCTCAGTCTTCTGGAAACTGAGTCATGAGCCAATTCGCACTCCTTTAGCTCCCCATCCTCACCCAACACCTCCAAATCCCTCGGCACCCTCCCCTGGGGTGGAGCGGCGGGTCTCCTCGCGCCGCCGCCGTCGCGTCGGTCGGCCGCGCGCGTCGGAAGGGGCGCGTCGGAGCCGACGGCAGGGGGCCGGCGGCGGCGCGGCTCACAGGGCCAGATGTCCGCTCGCCGCCGGCGCATTCCCGCCGCGCCGATAATTTGTCTTAGCAATGAACCGCGCCGGGCCCGCCGCGAAGACGCGCTACAAAGATTTATTGACGCGGCGTTCGTGCGGACGAGCTGTGGACGCGTCGTCGCCGGAAGGAGGAGCGTGTCGCGCGTCGTCGCCACCGTCGCTGCTCGGCACGCGCGCGCCGCCGGTCAGCCGGGGAGGGGCTCAAAGTGCGCCAACTATGCCGCCGGCGCAGCGAGCGGTCCGGCACGGCGTGACAGAGTGCTGGTCACTGCTGACGGCTGCAGCAGAGTAACCGGGCATATTTGAACGGCCGGTGCCAAAGAGCGGATACATAAATTTCCAACTGAGGTGCTTTAGAGCTGAGCTGAGTGAGTGGAGTCATAGGTCGCCCATTAGACGTGTATTCAACAAGATGGGACCGAGCGTTCACATCCTGACAATATGTGTGGAATTGCAAGGAGGTGAATCTGAATTATGAAGCTGGTCAGAAGTGCGACACATGAATAAGGTAATCAATTTCATTAATTTGTATTTATATTTGTGCTTTCTTGTGAAAAAAAGCTTAGAATTATGAATTAGAATTCGTGTGAAAAATGCCGAGAACTATGAAGTTTTAGATGTCTTCCATTGCCTTTGATTTATCGTTCAGTTGACGAGCATCGTCCTGTAGATGTAAACGAAATATGAAATGTAGTGCTGTGAAATCCAACCCGTTCCGGGTGTTTAAGTTAATTGAGCCACCCAGTGCGGTGACACCACATTTGTCTCGGAGCTGTTGGGCGCTGACAAGCATGGAATGCCGCTCCCTCCAGCGGGCCCGTAAACAAGACGCCGTGACGCGCCGGTGCGAAAATGAGAAGAGGTGTCACTTTGTCAGATAAATAGTCCGATGACAAACATCAACACAACTGAGTGCGCTGCCATTAGCTGCTGCTTAATTAGCGAATGCAGACAATTAAGAAGGTCATCCTGCTTTATAACATGGTTGCTGATTATTCTTGGGCATCATATGGAAGCATTGCACGTAAACTCAACGAAATGAATGTGTAAGGCAAAATTAGCTGAATGTTTAGGGAAACAAATATTTGATGTGTTGGAAATGCATGAACACTTTTATTTGGAGAAATATTAGTGGTTATAGCTATAGGTGGAAAATTGTGGGGGTGCACAAGCTCTCCCAATGCCACGCCGGCTTGGTTTGGGAGCCGTAACAGACGGCGGAGGCCAAGGTCACCGATATAGGGCGGCGGCGGATTTGCTGCGCCCGAGAACCCCCAGTACGGCACAAATCTCCACCTATGGTCATAGCTATTAACATCTTCGTTTGTTAAAATGTGATATTTTTCATCTATTCGCGTCATCTATTCGCGTCAATTTAGAACTTCAACCACCCGTCGTGATATCTTCGTGCAAGCTTGCTACCGTTTTGATTCGTCTCTCTAGCTGCCGAACTCTTACCCTGACCTCCTGCACTGATAACCCGTCGGTACTCCCAGCAACGGATGCCTCTCTTTGCGGCACACGGCGACGCCAGACGCGTCGTGATCGTCGGACGCCAGATGCGCCACAATCACCTCCTGATGAGCCGGCTGACGGCGGCGGCGGATCCTCTCCCCCGGAGATGTTTGCTTTGCAATCGCAGCCAATCGAGGCGCGATTTACTTAAAACAACATGATTGATTAGTCATAGAGGCGCCGGCGACTCGATAAAGATGATGAAGCGGAGTCGGAATGGCTGTAGACGGCGAGTGGGGTGGTGCGTGGGTGTTGTGACGACGCCGTCGCGACGATAGGAGGGCCCTTTGGGACTGACGTTGTGCAGAGTGCAGTGTGCACTGTGCAGTGTGCAGCCATTGAGATGGAGGAAAAGGGGAGGGGCGACGGTGTGGAACGGCACAGAACAGTAGCCAGAAGGAAAAGGCGATGAGGGTGTTTTGTTCAATTAGCCGTTGACTAAGATATCCTGGATCGATTCTATGCGGAACATATTTTTTTTGCAATTTTAGCGCCATTTTGTTGGCTAGGTATTAAGGCAGTCCAGTGGTTTTGAGGTCTGTGGTCGGGCAACAGTTCGCAGGTGACCTCAATTTTACAATATATGTGTTTTAACTGAGGTCATTGTAGATGGGACGACTATAAAGCTCAGGCCGGTGAAAAATTGTGTGGGAGCGTTCACACAAAAATGTCGCACTTTTTTGCAGCAGGCAACGGGCACGGCTTTGTGATGTATCCAACAAACATTGAACGTCAAACAGTGAAATAAATGACTCCGCTCGCCATGGAATGAGGAGCTATTTCGGCTCATTTATTACCCTTGCTTTGATCTGAGCTTGTTTGAATTGTGAGACATCAGACATTCTTCCTGTAACGAGCTCTTGCTATGACTCACTAACAAACTCGGTCCCTGAGATCAAGAAATTATGACATTTTGAAACAAGCTAAGCGAAATGTACACATTTTTTTAGATATAACAGAAACGTGAATTTCCGTGCTAAATCTAGAAGTGAAATACACCAGGCTCAATCTCTCACATCCTGGGAGAGAACATGAAAGCCACATCCGCCGATGGACCGTTCCCAGAGGGAGGGACAGCGTTAGTAGGTTACACTCCGTCACCAGCGAGTCGGAAGCGCGGCCGGCGGCACGGCCATAGCCGCGGTCGGGACCCGCCAATGGGCTCAGTGATGGGCCCGCGACTTCGGTGCCAGCTAACAGCTTTCGAATGCCACCACCCGCTCATCCCAAACGTCAATTAGAGGCCGGGAGCGCCTATGAAAAACAGCCGCTCTCGAGCGCCGCTCGCGACGCTGTCGGCCGTCGCGGGCGACGCGCCGTCGACGGTGGCCGCCGAGCTGGCAGCGCACGTCGACGGCGGGTCGTCGCGGAGTCGCGTCTCTCGGGGCCTAACGGCCGACGGCTAGGTCTGCCTGAACTATGGCTGACGGCACTTACGCACACGGGCCTGTCTAACGGCGCTGAGGCTGGGCGTCCGCTCCGAGATGGCTACACCCCGAATGGCTCCGTCAGATTGAGTGGCAGACGTGTACGGCGTCCGATTGAGCTGGAGTTTGTTTGGTCTGCACTGCGTGAGCGCATGGAAGCAACACTCTCGTCTATAGTGAGAGACAGTGCTTATTTTTCGTCTTCTGAAAGGTTTGCTCTAGCTCTTTGTCCAGGACTCTAAACGTCGTTGATGCGTTCAACTCGCCGGATATTGTGGCAGTCTAGCTACAGTTATGATAGGACTAGCATATGTATCTCTGCTCTCGCAAGCACGAAAGGCAAACAACGTGTTTCTGAATCGCATGCTTTCTTTGACTCACGCATTTCTGCATAAAAGCAGTTTGATGGCCTCAGAACCATAATGTTTTTTATGCTTCCCAAGTTACTGTTTAGAAATAGAAATCAAGTAAATTCGATAGGCTTTGACCCTTGCAATCTGTTGCGGTCACAAAGCCAAGGCGGTGATGAGTTGTAAGAGCCAGGGCACCCACAGGCCAGTACAATCTCCCTCTGTGCGCAAGTTAGGCATTACCACTTTGATATCAATCCTGTATATACCTATTGAGAATCTGAACCTTGTAGCAGGTTAAATTATCTTCCTCTTATTCCCCCAAAATATTCGTGATTGCTGACCGCACCGTTGCCAATATCTATGACCGGGGACCGTGCAGAAAGCTCGGCTGTTTTCTTTGGAATCTGGTGGTGTGACGTGCAACGCATCACCGCCACCAAACAATGTATTTGTCAGTGATAGCATTCGCCCTGAACACCTGTCGTTGCAGAGAAATAGCAGAATTAGATTAGGAGACTTCAGTCAAAGTTTTACCTTTGATTTCTTCGGTAGCGGCCCGGTTTTTAGGGACGTGACACCTAAGTGCTTGATAACATTTTAGACGCTTTACCACAAAGGTTAGGGTTTTACGCGTATTATACTGAAATGCCAAGGCGTTTTTGTACATGCTGGTAATTCATTTCTGAGGAACTCTCTCAACTGACATGAATGGCTATGGTCTACATTTGAAGACATCCATGCTGTTTGTTTTGCCAGGGAAAGACTGCAATAATCCAACAACGGTGATTTTTCCCCAATCGCTGGAATTCAAACCTTTCATCAGTTCCAAGCGTGAGGGTGGTCATCAAAGAAATACTTGCGTCACAAAGCGAAACACAATCTGTGCCGCATACCGTTTTCCGACCCCAGGCCGCTCGTATTCCCGTTAAACGGCCAAAACAAACAGCAGTACAGCTCAGAGGAAGCATTAGCCGATAATACGCCGTCCGGCGCGGCGGGTGGCGGCCGACCGCCGCGGTGTCTTACCATTGGTTATTGGCGTGTAGCTGTCTGGGCTGCTATAGCTGCTCTGTCGAGTATTGTAGTAGGACGTGCCGCCGTTCTGAAACCAAAACGCACTGGTCAAGAAAAAATAGACACACGACTAGGCTACCAAGTGTTATGTTAAATGGATCGGCTCATTTCAGTATTAAAAAGTAAAGCAGGATGAAATTGGATATGAAGCACAACAAAGAAGCTGATCTTTATTACTAGCCTGATGGAAACAAGGGTAAGACAGTCAGAAAATGAGTAAGTTTAACATATTTAGCGCATGATGAACAAGACATGGTTACAAATGTCCAAAGCTGTCGTTTCCAGCATTTTTCATTTAATCCACGGCATTCCCTTTCTTCCCATACAATCAAAGTTCGCGGTCTAATCACGGCAGACATGAAGAATGCAGTCACTCTCGCTACTAGCTACATGATAGTTGATACGATGATAAACAATGTTTCCCTCCGAAGAAGAGATACCGTGGCGAATCGGAAAGGGGCGTGAAGCGGACAGGATATGAAAGTGAGACGGTTGTTCTGGCAGGTCCCACGCCTTGGAGCGTCTAACTGACGGGCGTGACGGTGGCACGGCCATCCCGTTGATATTGTGTTGCAGTTGCGATGTTGTTTTGCCGCTGTTGTGGGCGCTAAGTGACGTTGCCAGGTGTGTTTGGCAATGTCACGCCTAAATGTTCAGACAGCCGTTGCGCAATTTCTGTATTGTGCTAAAACGAAACCATATGGTACACCTAACAAAATAAGATATGTTTACTGTTTGGCTCGACTAGTTTGAGTTTCCTCCGTGCGTCTCTTATTGCGTGCAATTAGAGTACGATAGTCAAGTTGCATATTGATTTCAATTTTGCTTTTCAAATATGTATTATTTTCATATAAGTAAGCTAAGCATATCCTAAGCATGTAAGCCTTAACCACTTTCTAGAAGACATAAAAACAAGTATTCTCTTATTTCTTATTCACACCCAAGCATCCATGCAACTGCCGTCATCTCATAACAAATCACTATCACCGTCCTATCTCCGTGTCTCCGCGCGGACTCTTCGTGTTGACCCGAGCGCGCTGTCGCCGTCGACGCGGCGTGACGCGTCGGCGGCAGGTGGCGCAGCCGTCGTTACCGATGCTGCCGACGGTGGCACTAATCAGCCTTCAGCCGGCCATTGTCTGCCCGAGCCGGCCGCGTCGCTACCGGAATGGCGCAGTCGAGACGAGACGGAGCCGGTCGTCGGCACACAATGGCAACATTCAGCTCAGAGAGGCTACCGTCGAGAATAAAGTGACTGCTGAGTGCTAATGATGACGACTTGTGTGTCAAAACAGGTGAAAGTGAATTTTACTGCGTTTCAAGGAAAGTAATGCACCTTTCCGTTGTGTTGACATTACATGCATGGATCATGGAAACATTTGAAAGGCATTTTGAAAATACGACAACCGTTTAGAATCATTCATTAATCATTTTGCTGGTTACATATCTGCTTATAAAAATTGAATGCTTTAAAAGATATTTTTGGCTTGTTTGGTGACCATGCGTTGGCGGCACTGCACTGATAGTGAATATAGCATTGGTCAGCGTCAGCCCTCCATTCATTGGCCGTTTCTCCCGTACGAATTCCCCAGCGCGGCTTGGCGACTGTACCTGGAGCGGTAGACTGTACCGCCGTACACGCGTGTCCGGCGGCACAGTATGCGCTTTCCGCCAGGCGGCGGCGGCCGGCGCACCTGCCTGTGCTCTTGACTGAAATCGGCAGCTGTTGGCGGAGGGTGAGGCCGACAAGACAGCATTCCGAGATTCATTCATTCCCTGTCCGGTAGTAGCGAGTAGAACACTCGATGTTGTTTGTAGCGAGCAAGACTGACCTTGATTTCCACAAATAGACTCAAAGAGATCGCTGGCGTTGGAGGTGGAACATTTGTTTGCAGACGAATGCTTGGAATGGAGGCTGAAGAGTGGGGATTGCTGGCGATGCCATTCCTTATTAAGAATGTTTAAATCATTGCTATGCTATTTTTTTTTTTTTTTTTTACCAGAAGGACAGCTATCTACTTAACTTAGCTCCATGTCCTGGCTTGTAAATAGTCAAAACAAAATAAAGTATCTCCTGGCTCCATGAGTTTCACTGAAGCTCAATATTATTAATGCCTTGAAAAATGAAAATATTAAGGCGTTTTCAGTGTCAGTTCCAGTTGACGCCTGTAACCCTTCCTACTGTTACAATCCCAACATTTCCCTTCAGTCCCAGTCAGGAAACCCGGTGGTAGCGTTCCCGGTTCCCGAAAGGTGCTTCTCTCGGCAGAACCACACGTGTCCGGCCGCGCCGTGCGCCGTCCAAGGCCGGTGCTACTCCTCCCAGTGCGCTGGCGGTCACAAAAACTCTGCCTGCCTGCCCCAATCCGGCCTGGGCGGACGTTTTTCCACAAGTCGGCGGCGTCTCTGGGCGGCCACTCTGCCGGGGAGCACGGCGGGGAACACGGAGGGAGGCCCGCGGCAGCCACGGTCTCATCAGACGGCACGTGTTATGACACCGGGACGCCGGGCCGGCCCGACCGGCGCCCCTGTCCCCGGCCGGGAGCGGTGCCCCCGGAGCCCACCGGCTCACCAGTCCCCTCTCAGCGACTCAGTGGCTCAGAGCTCACCGGCGCCGGTCTCAGACATGACCCAGGCACCGACAACACGAGCCGCCGCGTCCGGAGCACGCCACACAGACGTCTGGCGACTCTCAGGCACGGGCGGGCAGAAACCCCTCGGTGGAGGGTTTTAGTGGAACTTTATGGGCTTCTGTGATGGCGCCGAGAAGGAGGGGCTGACGGAGTGACTCGGGTCAGTGAAAAACAGGGGATGTGCAGAAGAGATGAGAGGACGTGACACTCCTTTGGTACTCCTTTTGAAGTCATCGCTAGAGGGTTGAACAGTGAATCTATTCAACCGCACAGCAGTGTGTGCCAGCGGTGGCTTTAATGTTTCCCACCGAGTGTTTTTGGAGCTCACGGGCATTCCCAGCCCACAGCTCGCAGGGCTGAGTCGAGTTCGTAACAAAGTTCACTCATCATAGGCGGCCGTTTTTTACCCCTTTGTCTGTCACAGCCGGGGCTTTATGGGGTGACAGATTGCAGTTTAAGTAGCTGTCTTCATTACCAAAGGGTATTTTCAGAGCAGTTTTTGCGGGCGTTTTTTATTGAGGCTGGCCTGCGAGTTTTGCTCGGTAAATACGGTCCGGCCGCTGGTCCTGAGAAAGCGTCTGGTATCTGTGTTAACTCGAGCGTGGCCTAAAGTGCATAACGATGCTTCCGTCCAGACGTGTTTGTTTCAAGGTGAAGGGCTGAGTGACGACCCGCGGACTGTTTGGGTGGTGTGACTTGTTCTGTGTCAAATCAGGTTTCATTCGGAGACATGTTACATCATTCTGTCGCTCAATCATGTCGAGATCGAAAGGATGGGTGACGATAACGTGCGATTGGTTGGCGAAGAGGGAAACAAATTTATTAACACTGAATATTTACAGCCCTAGCCTAGTTATAAGTGTAACTTTATAAATATCTTATGTTTTTTATTGTTTGTTAAGTGATTTATTTCGGGTAAAGGAAACGTAGCAACATTTTGAATGATTCATTGTAATTTAGAATACTAATGACAACATGAGTCCGACACCACCCATTGAAGCTTCTCAACCAATCACGCTAGCCTCGCCTCGCCTTGCCTCGCCTGACCGGCCACCTCCATTCAACCAATCCCACACTTGAAACATCCTCAAATCGTGGCACGTGGCAACGCTCGGAGGGAGAGGGTTCCCCGTCGCGGGGAGGAGGCCGCCGACTGGGGACGGGGAGAGGGGAGGGACTGAAATTAGCGCGTCCCTCGTCGCTGACTGAGGCGCCGCCGTCCGGCTGGACTCCGGGGGTGGTCTGACGGACTCACGGCATCACTCGAGGACCCGCCGTCTGTTTTTCGCCGGTCTGTGCCGCGCCGCTGGCCGGTCAGCCGTGCGAAGTGGGCCAGCAAGGCACACAACATCAGACCACACACGCCCACGCAGGGAGAGTGACGAGGGGACGCAGTGAGAGGATGTTCAATGCTGACTGAGTGAGGAGCTAAAAAGGTAGTTCAACAGAAAATATGCGGTGAACAGAAAAATATATATATATAACAGAAATCTATTGCTGTGATAACTTAATTAAGATGTGTCTATAAGCGAGCATACTTCTAAGTTATATCATATCATCGAAGTAAATAAATTTTAGATACTGATCAATGCCATTTCAGATCATTCAGATAATTTACAATTATGAACTGTTCAAATAATGAATGTTTTAACATTTTGCAAATGATCAATCATTTGACGTTCTTCCATTAGCTGAAGCTGTTAGGCAAATGACGTGGATTAAATGTTTCAAGCATGTGCTGAGGTCGTCAAGGGTTAATCTGGCGAAGATTAGTCTGCCATTATGAATCCCAGCTACCACGAAATTCAAATTTAATGCAGCTGGTGTTGCGCATTCATCATTTGAATTCTCGTTCACTGCCAACTTATCACATGCGGGGGCGGCAATAGTAGAGCATCTTCTCCGAGATATGCCGAAGAAATGGAGGCGGACAGGAAGGAAAAGCAAGAGAGGAAGAGAAAGAAAAAGGAAGAATAAAGGATTAAAACAAAGAGAAAGATGATTCAATTTCATTAGCTGGAGGCCAATCAGCAACAATAGCATACTGTGTCAACAATGCGGACCAGCGCCCACATGACCTGCATACATACAGCGCTACCGCCTTCTACTCACCATATTATAGCCAGAGGCCGGGTTGATGGGCGCGTCGGGGCGTGCCTCCTCGGGGGCGCCCGAGCCGGCGGCGCCCCCGGAGCCGCCGCGGGCGCCCCTCAGCATGTCCTCCAGCGCCTCTATGTACTCGATGGCCGCCCTCAGGATCTCCACCTTCGGGTACCGCTGGTTCGGGTTGGCGCACGTTCGCTTCTTGAGCATGTCGAATGCTTCGTTCACCTGCGAATGACGGAGCTTAGTATGATTGGGGCATATGTGTGCACAGGTGCTTTTGTTATCTACTTATTAACATCACATTTAGGTAGGCGATAAATCATGAGATGTGTCGGTGGCGGTGCCGGGTGCATCCATGATCAGCTAAAACAAATGCAAGCATGACGACTTTCATCGACAAGTTTACCACCTGTTGGTTCATGTGTAGTAAATTGATTGCTACCACTGTTCGCATCGTAAACTCATATCTGATTATAAGTTGACAAATGGAACACGACGCGAGGCTGTCGGTAACATCACCCGCTCAACTGTTAGCCGTCCAACACGATTTTCATCGTGTCAGCGGCTGTTGAAATATCCGCTCATAATTCAGCTGTTGGCTCGGACTTATCGGCTGATCCATCGGAGCTGCGTAGCATTAATGGAGCCCTCTGGATACACACGTAAATCACCCCCAGTCAAACTGTCTGTTTATTTGTCTCAGAGCGCTGCGGCGCGCCCGTTCGTCATATTGCAGAGGATTAAGGTGTGAGCGCCTCGAGCCAGGCTATCATAAAGAGCTCAGCACTGTGTTTTTATCGGTGTTGATGGCGGGGTCTCGGCCTTGTCGTGGGAAGACCGGGCAGGAGGACGTGATTCAGTAGCGGGGAGGACGACATGTGAGATGAGATGATCCAGTAGCGGGCACATAAACATGCCGTAGAATTACGGAATATGATCAATGGGTCATGGCTGGTTGACAAAACGCCCACCCGCAGCATGGGTTGGACCGCGGAAGAGGAGTTGGAGACGAAGACCAACAGGGCGACACATAATTCAGGGTTCTTGACTGAGTCGCAGGAGCGAAAACTTTCGAAGAGACTTGTCTTTTTCGCCGAGACAAGCGAGCAAATTTACCTACTGGATTGTGAATGCTGATGCTTGACGGTCCATTTGATATTCTTAATCTCATTTAACATTAATTGATAAACTTAATTAAGATGCATAGGAAGGTACTATTGCTTTATCTACAGACGGTAGTACCTAATCAATAAGCTATTTATTTCAAGGACATTTTGGACAGCTATTTTTTTCTAGGACAAATGTCAATTTGGACCATTATACTGCTTATTAGCACTTAGCAGTGTCATTATGATGGATCATTATTTGCACCCATTTTCAATTAATGGGTATCTGCAAAGTCCCATGCTTTTTTAGACAGAGAATAGATGTATTATAACCATAACAATGTACTTCGATATCTATAACTAATAACAGTGTAAAAAAGGTGTCCCGTCATTCTGTCTGTAAAATAAACAAACATATTTAGAGCTAAGGAACGAATTCAATTCATAATTCATATCCTGGGCTGCTGAAAAATTAGTCCAACTGTGCCTGTCTTTTGATAGGGAGCTTACTACGACAAGACAAGCAGAGTTTATCACCGTGTTCTAATGCTCGCACCAACTGCTGTAATTATTCAGTTGGCTTCAAATTGTAATGATTATAGAGAGACATTCGCTATATTCATAAATGAGACGAAATGCTTCTGAGTCAGACCTCTGAACTAACACATTTGAAGTAATGATAATTTACCCTACAGTTTTGCTCGAACGCGTTGCACGATGCACAATTGATGACGTTAGATCGCGGATTAGAGCACAGGTTAATCGTAGCAGCAAGTGTTGAGCATGGTGTAGATCATTGCTCGTTTTGCACAATCTCGACATCACTTTTATGTTGTTTTTTTTTTTCGCCTTAAATCGTTGCATAAAGATTAATCAATAAAAATGTCCCGTTTATGATCACATACCTACCAAGCATGGAATTGAAGAGCACAAATCCAAACCAATGTTACTGGTGTTCTAGTGCAGTAGTGAGTAGTACTCGTAGCGTAATCATTGATATTTTTTTTGCTCAATTTCTTGCACGCGAGAGAAACTTTTTGTGACTCGAAATGCATTCTAAGCAATTGCATATTTGCGAAATATGCGCCAATTTTGCCGTCTTGACAGATGCGACTGGTTTCCTTCGAGTCATCCCTTCCGACCAAAAAATGATATTAAATTTGTTCTGCATTGGACACTTCATTTCTCTGCTACTCCATTTGTTTCATGGAGTGTAAATGTACAATGTACAACAAATTTCCTCTGTTATACATTTATGTATATGTATCTGCAAAGATACAATAATACAGTCACCAAATTCTGGACACTTTACTCGTCAGTCACTACCATAATTTCGCACATGTCCGCTCCCCTCTGGTCGATGGGCGCCGCCATGTTTGCTGGCGACGGCCGGGCGTCAGTCGGTCAGAACTCGTCCGACCGAGATGGTGCGGTTTGAGGCGGAGCCAGTGAGTGCGGTTGGGAGCGGCTACAGGGCACAGAGAGTGTCTGACGTGGAACGCCCGATACCGTGCGGAACGAGCCGTGGGCGCGGATTGACAGGCCGGAGACACGGAGCCGGGTCGTCTTTGTTTTGATAGGCTAATGCAGCGCTCATTTGTGCGTGGTTGTGTTGTGGCTCATGTTGCGTGTTCATCTTTTTTGTTTGATTTGAAGGCCTAACAGTGGGAGTGATTGTGCTTGCAATATTGTCTAGACAGTATTTTGTCCTTACCGATTGTTATAACGCCCATATTGTTGAAGGGGTAGCCGATAGACAATGGTCGACGGATATTATCTTGCTGAGAAATTGCTATTGCTGTTGTTCGTGGCCAAAAATAACATTGAATGAGCCTAAATGAGATCGTTTCTGTATCGTCGCATTTCGGATTCTTCCCACAGTTAATGTTTCGTCTTATAACCAGACATGTGCACGGATCCTAGAAAATGGATCAAGAATTTGATCCCACATATCTTGAGCTAGGATCCTATCGGAGCATATATCCAATTCCCATTAGTCGAGAGATCCATTGGGATCATAGGTCCAATGCTATTTGTCTAGAGATCCACTAAGATCATAGATCCTTACTATTTTTTGACAAAAAATAATCCAGGATCACTTGTTTCAATTCGCAATGGTTCTGCTTCGGGAATACTCTGTGATTTCTCATTCCAATTCATAGTCTTGTCAGTGGTACATTTTGACATGAAACCATATAAAAAAATATGATTTCAAAGGTCACGTATGACGAGATCCACTCGGATCAGGGACATCTGTTATCGGTTTGTCGTGTGATCCGATGGTGTCATAGATCCGTAACTTGTCGCTTGTTTTGAGCCATCCATTGAGATCACAGATCCATCGCTCAGATCCATGCCTATGTCTGGTTAAAACCGCGGTTAAAACATCGATTTCGTGTACTGTAGACGCCATTTGCACTTGACTAATTTGGGAAGAATGATGAAGAAGCTGATCATGCATTTATTATAACTTATAATATATAGGTCTGGACACTGCACTGATTCTCTCACCTTTGTATAGCAAAAACATGTTTTATACATTCGGCAAGTGACATACCACTCCCATTAGTTTGCTTTATCGTTCAGTGTTAGATTTGTTTGAAAAAGGACACAATAGACAGCCAACGATTTGTTTGCATGAATCGAATGTTAGTCCAGGCGTTCAAATTACTTTTTACGTTAAACTATTTCGGGCTATTGAACTGACTGACTAGTGACTGCCCCGTCTCGTAAGAGGTTAGTGAATGAGGATAATCTTTCTATAGGAAAGCAATTAGCAAATATGCATAAATCACATAAGCATTCCGTTAGAAATAGATAGAATGTAAAACAAGGTCAACTCAGCACTACGAGTACTCTCTGCCACCTGATTCTACCTGATTGATCTGAGTCACCTGGTCCTGTGGGCTGTGACTAACTTGCAGGGACTCTTTGGAGCGTTTGCAAGGATACATGTGGTTGTGCTGCCGATGAGCTCCTCCGTCCTGACACCCACCTTTTTGAGCCGGCGTCGCTCGCGCATTGTGGCCGCCTTCCTACGGTCTATGGTCACCGATTTGCGCTTGCACGCCTTGCACGCCCAGGGCAGGCAGCGCCGCTGGCCGTGGCCGTGCGTGTGCGGCGCCAGCACGTGCGGCACGTGCTCGTCGTGCTCGGCGTGGCCGTCGTGCTCGCCGTGCTCCTCCTCGCTGAAGGCGTGCGGGTAGTCGGACTGGTCGGGGCTGAACGGTGCCGCCGTGCTGTCCGGGCCGGCGCGGAAGGCCGGGTACGGCTGGCCGTAGCCGGGGCTGCCGGCGCCGTCCCGCAGCGGGCCGTAGCCGGCCGAGAGCGGCGGGTAGGTGCCCTCCGGGAAGCGGCAGCTGCGCATGTCCATCACCATACTGCCCGGCCGGCGGCCCGCACGCCCGACCTGACCGGCCGCTCACTGCCCCACCGCGCCCGCCGACGCCAAGACTGCACGACGCGACGGTAACGACGGGGTCTCTCACGAGGAACACCTCCGCGCCGCGCCGGTCGTTTGGGCTGCGGGTTCACACGCCCGAAAGGCCGCCGGAGATGAGGACACGCCCACCTCCGGCGGCAGCCAATGAGAGACCGGGGAGGAGGCGGCGGGGCGGAGCCAAACGCTCGAGAGACGAGATGATACTGAGAGGCGATGGGACTGGAGGATTGAGGGACATGGTTTCTGTCCAAAATCCATGAATTTGAGTTTTTCCATTTGCACATTTCGAGTGCTGTGGTGTTCCCTGTAGCCTGTTGGTAGCATAAGTCTGGCACATGTCAAATTTGCTTACCTGAATTTGCTGATGTCTTTTGAGCTTATAAAACATATTCGACAGCTCTTCTAAAGCTTTTTTCTTATGTGTCCTCATGTCATGGCCAATATTTGGCCAAAAGTTACCGATATGGTGTTAACTCAGTTTAGCCAGCAAATACCAACAACATGGAGTTTTTTGCGGATCTTTTTTACAATAACTTTTGATATAAATCTGGTTAGATCTTGAGTTGGCCAGCATCGTGTTTCTCTCTTCGATGCGCGTCGACCCGGCTTTTTGCACATCATCAAACGATATGTTTTGTTGTGCTGGAACATTTTAGATGATTTCATTGCTTTAAAATGTCTTATCAAATGGTATAACTAATAGCCGAAAAACTGCTGGTGACATCCTGCCGATGATAATGATATCCTAAGCACTTAACCCGGCAGTTGCTGGGGTATTTCGCCACCCACCGTTTGCTGGGGGGGGGGGGGGGCGTTAAACGCCCCCAGCCGATAACTCGAGAACCAATAGGCGCAGCGAAACGCACGAGGCGGCAAACGAAAGAACGCGACGAGACGCTTCAGATGAGTACTTTAAAGTTGAATTTTGAGGTCACAGGTCAGGTCAAGGTCAGGTCAAACACCTGAAATCGGGCTTTCAGTGGCATGGACTTCAGGACTTCGCAATGGGCGGCTCTCGTCATAAACTCCGTCAAAACGGTGCACAATCCATCATATAAGGCCTACAAGAGTGTCAGCTCCATGTAGGGGTCAGTCAAGCATAGGTCAGGGTCAAGGTCAGGTCAACCGGGTAGGCACATATCCCCGAAAATCAAAACTGATATTCGCAGCCTGTGACACATGTTTTATGGGTAATTTGGGGCGTAGAACACGATGGTGACATTCATTTTGTCATATGTGTACGTGTTTGGCTCAAAAAGTTCAATTTAAGAAATGCATGTATCATGGTTACGAAGTAGTCACGAGAAATTGCCAAGATTCAGTTCAAGATTTTGGAAAATGCGAATTGATAATCAATAATCGAAGATAGCCATTTGATTGTTCATGGTATTGGCAGTCTAATGGCGTTTACGGCATGTCTGTATGTCTATTCTGTGATTTTATATGATTTTTTGAACATATGCCGTTTTTGGTCGAAAACTCAGAAATCATGACGTCATTAAAACCTCGATATCTCAAAAATTTTCCGACCGATTTTTTTGAAACTTTCTCACAATACACTTCAATTAATTCCCTACAGGTACCCAAAATTTGGCGCGCCTGCGGCGCACTGTTTTTATGCTATGGCCCGGCGAAAAAAGTGGGGGCGTTTAACGCCCCCCCCCAGCAACTCGCGGGTTAAGCAGACATGTCATGACTTTGAAACTATCTCGCGGCTTTGGCGCGTAAATACGTGAGCGTCAATTACAAACACCGAATCATTTTGTTTCCTGACTGCCAGTGTTCCTTCTGACCGCAGCCCTTTCTGCCAAATACCTAGTGAAGAGGTGAAGAAGACACATGCTGGCACTCACACATGTAGGGGATTGATCGCATCCAGTTTCGCAGTTTTGACAGCGTTTATGACGAGAGGCGCCAAGTGCGAGGGTTTTAACCCTCGCATAAGGTTGGATGGACCCCCCCCCATGGTTTTTCGCGAATAACTCGCGTAAAAAGCGGCTGATCGCGACGAAACTTTTAGTACCCTCGAGTTGATCAATTTTACACCTACTCTGAAAATTTCATGACCCTGACCCAAGTGACCTTTGACCTGTGTGTGACCTATTTCTCGAACCCATGTGTTGCCGGAATCGCGATTCGGCGCGGTCGGCTCACATAAGTCGCACGAGCTTCTCGTGGTTTCAAACGTTCAAACATGTGATTTGATGTTGCTTCAATGCATTTGGATGGATGTCAAGGTCACCTGAAGGTCAGGTCAGGTCATTGACCTTTGGTGACCTCGGTTCACTTTTTCAAGCTATGCATGTTTCTAGGCTAGTTTTTTTTTTAGCTGAATTCGAATTAAGAAACTATTTGAACATTTACGAAGTAGTTTTAATGCCTTCGTAACATGTTACGAAGCTGCCAGAGGCGGTTGACACGTACTACGAATACTCGTCACGACCCCTACTGGTTGACCTGACCTGACCTGACCCGACCTGGTCTAAATACTTAAAGACATCATCTGTGATCAAAACTAACACCATATTCGTGATCAGCACCCCAAAAACCCCCTTAGCAGCCACATTTTACGACTTTCTATCAGGTCCTGATTTTCCCGACTTTGGGTCATTGACCTGACCTGGAAGGTCAACCAATGACCTAGGACCTTAAAATTAGGTATCATCGGCTTCCTTTGTTACGGGCAACACGCTCGTTTTATCCGCGAAGCTCTAGCTCAATCAGGGGCCAAACGGCAAGGGGGTCCAACCGACCCCCCCCCCCCCCCCTACACCTTAGAAGCTGGCAAACGCCGCACACATGCGAGGGTTAAACTTCATGCTACTGAAAGCCAAATTTCAGGTGTTATACCTGACCTTGACCCGATTTATGATCTAAAATTCAACTTTCAAATACTTAGGTATCTGAAGCGTCTCGTCGTGTTCTTTCGTCTGCCTCCTTGTGTGTTTCGCTTGTGGCGTTTAACGCCCCCCCCCCCCCCAAGCAAATGGCGGGTGGCGGGTTTTAGCCTTCCACAACTGGAGTTAACTCCAGTTTATCGTTGCCAGTAATAACTATTTATCTTCGCGGTCGCTCGAATGAGCCAGACCGAGGTTTCCAACCAGTCACCACTGTTCCGTGACACACGGAAAGGCATTTCTTTCCAGGCTACATAGTACCTAACTATTCTCACGCTTCTTAAATGTTATTTTATAATTTATTCCATAGCCGTTTGGAAGTTCGTTGAAAGTTTCTTGGTTATGCATTGTGTGTGTGGTTGTGGTTTTCATTACATACATGTCCTCTGCCAACTGAATGTTGATGCGTTTTTCCCCACTTGTAGCTGGGCTGGAAGATTTTTGTCTCGGACGGCATGCGATGCGCGGGGCAAAGTGGTCGGGGCAGTAGACACTGCACAGCTCCCAATAACCTATTCCATAAGTTATTTCCGCTTGGACAACAAACGTTATTGATGTTGAAATATATCCTCATACATTTATCTCGGGCACTTCTCGGTTAACCCGAGCCCTGCTGGGGGGGTGTTTGAACATGTTTGTGGTTTTTTCGCGAATATCTAAAAAAAACATGTTTGAACATCGACTGATATGCAGCATGACCCTTTCCGGTCAGGTCATGACCTTGACCTGAGGTCAAATTTTCAAGTTGACCTTTCAAGGTCAAGTTATAGTTCATTCGATGCGTCTTGACGAGAGGAACACGATGCCGGTAAAAGTAAGCTCGTACAAGGCTTGGGTCAAAAGTTATTGTAGAAAAACTGTTTCCGAAAAAATAGGCTATTTTTGCAGTTTTTGCCCCCTGCGGCCTGCAGGCAAAACCGTTGACGTTAGGTCAAATCTGAGAGAATTATTCAGAAAGGGCGTTAATAGGGCTATCGAATGCGCTTTTCTGCGACGCTGTAGCTCTATTGGTTCCCGAGTTATGCGTTGGTTTCCTGAAAATTGTCGACATTCGACTTGAAAATCGGCGAAATTTTGCCTTCAATGACCTCTGGTGACCTGACCTTTGACCTGACCAAAAAAGTGACCGAAGTGATTTCGTCATTATTTTTGGCGCTCTTTCGAACGCCGCCTTCCGCGTATCGCTACGTGGCCCAGGAGCCGAGTTAGAAGGGGGGGGGGTGTTCAAACACCCCCCCCCCAGCAGGGCGTGGAAATCCAGGACCCCCAGCCGGGCGCGGGTTAACATGAATTACATTTTTTTTTTACAAGAAATGCAATTCAATGCTTTTCAATAATCCATGAATGTTCTTGCATTGTTTTTTATGTTTATCTGCCTACAGGTGGGGAGACGACAAAATAAACGTCTGTCTTCATTTAAACCTCAGCCATCAAATCCTTTTGCTGTACAATGTACCTACAGCTATCTTGTTTTTCATATTGGGCCAAAGAAGTCGCGCGGAGAGCCTTGCCCCGGGGCTGGGGTAAAAGGGGGCAAAATGCATAGGCCTAACGTTTTGCCAATATCTCCCACATGTGCAAAAGCCTTTAGAAAGGAAACGGAGTTTAAAGGTAGTGTGCCAGCTTTCTTGGACCGTATGGAGTTAATGGCCCAGATAAGGAGAACCGGATTTTTAGAACTTATCCATACCTTCAAAACTCATGGAAACGTCTTAAATTCTTCAAATTTTGAGTACCCCAGTGCGAAATTCGCCCCGACGGGTTGTCGGTCGTACCCCAACCACATTTCACACCACTATGAACAATAAATGCACACACTGAAATCGCTATTACCGATATGCTCATCCAATCAAGTTTCCATAAACCCGTTCATCATCATCTCCTGCGGTTTCGAACACGCCTGTTAGGTGGCTTCTGATGCTCGTCGAGGTCGGAATTTCCAAATACGCGTGGTGCGTCGGGCCGCGCGCTCTGACTTCGGCCAAGAAAAATGCGTCAGCTGATCATTGTCATTTCTGCCACTTGCGTGTGGTGAAATGGGGTCATAACTTATAAGACGGCTTTTTCATATCAATTATTTTACATAAAATCATATTTCAAACCATAAATAATGTTCGACAGCCAAATAAAAGAAACAATACCAATACGGGCTTACAGTTTAAGGCTCGACATTGTGTTGTCTACGAT